TTTTAAAAAAAGCAAATCGAGATTGTGACTTAAGTAGTTGAAATTTCACATGAGATTGACAATAGTTGTTATGGCTACTTTATAAATAATGGGAAAAAGTGCACTAGAAATCTATTTGTGCAAGATGAAATAATATATGTCATAATTAAAATTTCTTGTTCTCGCATTGCTAATAATCCAGTAGGCTTCTTTTAAGTTACTGATTTCAATGCTAACTGATCGGTTCCTTGGTGATGAGCTCTGCGTTCGACTCCATTCATAGCAAAACGGATGTGATTGAATGAATAGCTGGCCTGTACAATGCTTTGCGTGAACCTGACCTATGACTCGATGTATCCAGTTACCATTGTTCGCTCCCCAGACAACTCCAGTACCAATATACCGGCTCTGGAAGGATGCAAGACTTGATAAGCGCGTTAGCTGGATGGAACCATGACGGATCCAATGTGTGTTACAGAGTACATCTAGCCACAAGGCTACACGAATCTTTTATCTGACAGTTTATGTAAACGGAGCATAGCTGAACCCTCCTCCACTTTTCCCACATTCATTTAAAGGCAATTATGTATTATATTTTGTTCCCATGCGTGTTTTATAAGTTTTTACAAGCTTCTCTTTAATGAGCACGTGGTCTTCATTGATTCACTACGAGTAATTCTGTTTTCTTTGTATTAGTTTAATCCATGAATCTAGGAGTGCAAAACCTTATAGATGGTTACTGCGAAATATCTTTAATTTCCCACTGCATTAAGAATTCTGCGCGAAAAAAAAACTCGAATGCAAAAGCCTGGGAAAGTTAAAGAGAAAACACCACTTTATGACAAAAAAGTACTGAAAACTTTACCTATCGCTCTCTTCGAACGATTAGGAACAAGAAAGTGTAAAAAATAAACAATCGTTAACAAAATCAATTACAATGATATATTGTTGGAAGCGTATGGCGCAGTGGTCGGAGACGCCTTGCAATACACATGGGTTAGATTCTCGCACTCATGTTCCACCAAGCCTTCCATCCATCCGAGGGTCGACGAACCAGACCTGTCTCGATACATCGGTAGGTCCACACGAGTCATTGTAAAGGCCAGATGTTCAATCACCTCAAAACGAGCCCAATGAAGTCCAATGCATGACGCGTCCTTAAGGGATTGATCAACGTCGAGAGCTTTATCCTTTATTCTTTCATTGTTGGAAGCACATCTCATATCGTGGAAGCGTCATATTATTGCATTCTAAAAGACTTGAATGAGCTAATAAAGAATGAGCTCCATCTTTACACATCGAATCTTCACCAAATAATTTAAAAATGAAAGTAAAAATATTTTCCGTCTTCAAAAAGAGAGCTACCTCATCAGTACATCTTCCTCAATCATTAAACAAGCACGATAGACATTGATAGAAAAGATTTATTCGCCCAACGTTTCGACGTCTTCGCTTTCTTCAGAACCGGATTTATGTAAATCGATGGCCTACAGGTGGCCGACCTCGCCATGTGTTTGCTTTATATTTCGTTGAAGAAGGTAGTGGTATTTTTATCGACGCCCAATGAAAGTCAGTTTAAAAAGTATCCCGTGACCTGCTTACTGCTCTTTATTGAAAAAGAACAAAACTTATAATCTCCGTCTGTCGTAATAGCTACGTGTAGTTAATACTGTGATTTAATATAAGAACAATATTCTTATTCACTCAGTCATTCATTCATGTTCATAACAGGCAGGTCTTCCTTTAGAGACGTCATTTTTCCTCTACTACTATTGAAATGGGCGTGGCTAGCTTTTAAGATGGCAGGCTGTGCTTAACGCAGCATTCCGACTCACTTCATACGGCACTCTTCTGAACGTACGTATAACATTCATGCACAACCACAGTATTCTAAGGCTGTTAGTCACCATTCTAGTAGTGGTCTGCATTTTTGCAGGTTAGTTGAATGATACTGGTTATCACTTTACCTATAAGTTGTAACTCTATTAAAAACAGTATTCACATAAACGATAGTTCGATGACCAAGTTTCACATTTCATGGACATCTCAACACTTTTTTCATTCCTTCTATCGCGTCGAGTCCGTCATCCACAAAGTTGGTCGAGTTCGCATTTGTCGACTTCGGCTGTAACCTGATGTTAATCACCTTCTGTCTAAAACGAGCAACAAGTTAAATGTTTCTTGAGTATGAGTATCATGTCCTTCGTAGACCTGTGGTAGGCGGAATATCGCGTTCTCAGATCATAATCACAAGCAATTGGTGGTGTTTGTGGAACGGAAGAAATTCTTTTTGACTGACTACTCAGATTCTTCCAGGACAGCAGCGATCGCAATGATGACAGCGAATCTCCTTGCGATTAGTAAATTGAGCGCTTGAGGAAGTATGTAGCAAGCCAAATCCCCACTGAACCAGTGCTAATAAAAAGTTCTTTCCTAATCTCCATAAAACTGTAAAAGATAAAGCTCTCGGCGTTGATCAATCGCTTAGGGGTGCGCCATGCATTCGGTTTCACTATGCATCGTTTGGAAGTGACTGAGTGCATATCAGGAATATATAGTTACTTCTTGTACCCTACCCGTGTATCAAGCCATTGTTTCTATGTTCCTAGACAAGCCTTATACGAATTTGCCGACCTCGGAGAAATGGAATGCTTGGTGAATCTCGGGCGTGTGATCGATCCAATAAGTATTGCAGGGCGCCTCTAACCACTGCGCAGCAGGCGCCCTTTTTACCTCCTTACGTACCTTTTTTTTGACAGCGTTAGCATATAGGATTTTCCGAGCCTTCTTGCACGTTGTCATCTCTTCTTGTGTATATTATTACATTTCAACTTCAGCTTAAGAAATATCATAGAACTAGTGCGTAGGAATGAGATATTAGCTTCTATAAAAGAATGAGATGATCATTACAGTCTATAAGAGAGGAGCGATTGAAAAGAGGATGCAGTGAGATGTGGTTGAATACTTACCAAAAGCAACCATGTACTTAGCTTAAGACAGGTGGATTCAATGGATATGCTTTCTGTCTCAGCTACACAGGACAGAGGGTGGACGGGTTTAACTCAGATAATCTTAAGATAAACAACTCGAAAGTAAATGTGAAATGAATGTGCTACACTGATTACATATTGTACATTTTCTGAAGCGTCGTAGTGTTTAATTGAGGTTTTTTTTTAGGAATGACGCGAGATCTTTACTTAGTTCCTAGCGAATTTCACAAGGCTCATTCTCATAGGCATTTCGGTAACATTCTCCACTACCGTTTTTAAAGGGAAATCTCGAAAAGTATATCGATTCATATGTAAACAGCAAATTGTGAAAACGGAAGTCTTTCCATCCTCTCTTTTTTTGTTAGAGCCGACGGATATATGTCTACAAATTGGCAAAGCCCATAAGGACGATATATAGTCTAAGAAAAACGTTTCATTTCCTGTTTTTCTTAAATACACGGAAGTACTAGATATAAATCAAGAGTTATTAATAGAATGCTTAAATATGCTAGTACTAAACACTACTCTAACACCCGCGAAGGGAAAAGGAATTGGTGAACGCATTTAGTATCTAAGTGTATGGTTTAAGGAAAAGCGGACTAGAATCTGGACAGGATATCATTCAAGGAATTCTGGTCATTATGAAACAACCTGGTTTGACTCAGGCCTAGGCCAACCAGACCTCCAACCGACGGGGTAGAGAAGTTCGTAATATATTTGTTTTGGAAAATTCCTGACCATCAATAGTGGCGGACGGTTTCTTGTGATAAAGACCTCCTAGCGTCATAGCGGTTAGTCCAGGATTCCAGGAAGAACTGATTCGAGCGACATCCGAAAGCGTCCATAAGGAAGAGCAAAAATTCTCAAGCAACAGCCAAATCCATACTCAAATCCGAAGACTTTGGTGGATGATGGATGCAGTGAAACGAGACGAACGAAAAAAGTGTTGCGATGGTGACTCGCACAACGTCTAGTATCGTGTCAGGTAAAAATAAAAGTAGAAGGAGATATGGAACAAAAAAGTGTACGATTTCAGAAGTGGACGATTTCATCAATGAACCGGAGTATTTTGTTTCATGTAAGTGTTTTACTGCCTTTTTATTGAAAAACTACTTCTGCCGTCTGTCGGTATTCTCCTTTATGGAAACGACACTCGTAAATCCCTTGGTTTGAGACAAATGAAGAAGTGCATGAAAAATTCACGATTCCAAAAAGCTAGCTTGGCCATGGGACGTCATAAAGCCATATATTCTTCTAACTCCTAAATTCTTACTATTGATCATAAACTTTTTGCTTGTCTGTTCCTCGATCAATAAGTGAAGAACGAGAGATTTTGTGGTCGATACACGTTGAAGAGCACAATAAAAAATCAAATAAATCGATATGTAAGTGGTGCATTACGAGAAACTGCATTTCATTTTAAATTCATACTATTCGCACCTTTTTTAAATTTTTGCAAAGTTATTAAAGCAGTAATACTAACGATGATTATCTATTGATGACATGGGAATTGAGCAATACACAATACTGACTGAAGTGAGCTTTCAGTGTAAAGCAAGGAGTTCAGAAAAGCTTCGAGAATTTTCTAACCATCTTTGATGTAAATAAGGGAACGTATTAAACCATGTCCTAACAGAGTAAGAAACCCAATATCCATTTCTGAATGTAGGTGATGTAATATGCAACAATATGGCACGTTTTTGTAGAATATTATTATTGGCTAAAATTTTTTGCATCAAGCATAGTCAACCACAATGATGCTAAGATATTTGCAAAACCTGGACTTCAGAGCAAATTCGAAAGCGCGACTGCACTTTCCGGGGCTCATGTGTTACCCATTGCACCACCGAGACATTTCCCTCTCAGTCTGTTTGCGGCTCACGTTATGATGCGCATTTTCGTTAAGCTATCGAATGAACTTATTAAGCTATCTAGTGAACTGGGAAGCCTGATGCTCAGCAATTCAACAACGTTTACCACAACGTTTAGTTAGAAAAATTTAAAAAATCATATACATCCACATCACTGTTGATGATATATGACCTCATAGATAGTGTTTCAGACTTGAAAAAAGGTGGTCCACAGGGACCATTGCGATTCGGCAAAAGACGTAGCGGTCCGTCCGGTCCGTTGAGATTCGGAAAGCGGTCCCAGTTGAATTACCCTCTCCTGTATGGTCAACCACCATACAATTTAGTGGAGTAGCTGATTGACTTTCATTAACTAGATCGCCAACAAACGTCCACATCGTCAGCGAATAGATGGTGTTCTTGATTGTACTTGTTGTGAAATAAATTACATCCGTCAATTGTTCGAATATCGATTGATCGAAATACTCAAGTATAGTAAGTTCTGTTAAAAACCGATTTAGAAATAGAATGAATTGAACAAATGATGTATGTGATGTCGAAGTAATAAAACAGAATGTTTATCAGCATCCAATACAATGATGAATTCACAGCCAAAGAGGAATTGCCGTCATCCGTCACTTTCTTCTTTGTAGAATTTATGTTCTTGAGAGAAAAAAAAGGAAACTAAACGAGGAAGGAAATTATAAAATATTTTTGTAAAAGTTAAGCGCAGTCTCCCAACGAGAAATCTGGTCGAAATTCCGGACGAGTTGTCCTCACATTGAGACGAGAACGACACGAGAAAACTGGGAAACTCTTATATTGAGCATTTTCCTAATTTCTAGATAAAAAAAGGTTGCTTTTTCAGTTCAGTTCCATCTTTAAAGTTCACTATAAACCTAGTTGACTTGGTCCATTAAAGAATAAGGCTAACCTTATTTCCAGTCTAAAGAGACGTTGGCTCCTTATTTGTGCGATAAGTTATTGGTTCTTACTAGTCGATGCTCCGATCGATATGCTGATCGATGCTCTGGTAAATAATCGTTATTCTGTTCCTGGAAATAACACTTAGTATGCAAATTTCTATTCATTCTTTCCATATCTTCACCCGGTGGGCAATTCTTTTCAAAATAACATCCGTTCTGTAAATCCGATTAAAAGCTTTCTTCTAAAGCCTTTAAGTTCAAGGGCTCAAGAGAAACCTTTGTTCTAATTTCTCATGAAGTTGTTGGTCACGATGATTGAAATGTCGCGTCATCAGGCCTGTGAGTAGAATTGAGTTTCCAATCCGATTATTTATAATGAACACGTGTGAGAAGGAGTGTAGTCAACGGTGGAGAACTGTGGAGACTCCAAGAGAATGAAACCCAGACTTTAACGTCGAGAGAGCAAATGCTGTGAAATTGAGTGCAAGACCACGAAATCTGGTATAAGAATGCAAACCGTCTTACTGGTATCCTATCCATAGTCTCGTCTTGTAAGCAAAAGTCCCTCTTTTCTCTTCTTTCATAAGAAAGAAATTTGCCGATAGAGTCATCGTAGTGACCTAACAGCGGGATTAATGCAAAGATCGACTACGCTCTCACAAACGGAAGACGGTGCTTCTATAAAGCCTCCACAGTGCCGTCGCTTTCCATGAGGTTACCTTCACTTCCTTCTTTATGTGAAAGCTCGTTCCAAGCATAAGCTGGAAAAAACTTTTGTCATCATTCATGAAGAAAAGAAAGGAGAATTTTGTGATGAGAACATTATGAACGAAAGCTTTTCATTACATGACTGGCAGATCAATAAATACAAAGTAGAATTCCATGAGCTGATGGGCCAACGAGTTGGAAGCTGTGCCGAATGCGTTTTAATTTTCTATAAAGAATTGATATCGTATTTCTAACTGATTTTAAAAAGAGCTGACATCGGTGTAGCAGAAGAGACTGTTGAGAGCCACTCTAAAGAGAACATAATATTCTACTATAAGACATGATGAATGAAGATAGAGTTATTACCACCTTTCGCCATCATACTGGTTTAATGGCCGAAAAGTTTTGCTCTACTTTTCCACGTTCCACGACACCCTTCCAGGCTTGTGTTTATGAAATCCCCGGCTAAACATATGTAACCCCATATCTCATCCATCTAAAACAAATGTTGTTACGAAGCGGATGTGAATCGAACCAAAACTCTAAGATCAGAGGTTATAACAGTCCATCTCCTCCGTTGCGGAACCCACGGTTGACAGGCATTCTGCGTTGAATGCATGAAAAATGCCTTCATATGTGAGAGAATCCCAGAGATTAGAGGATCCTCGTGCACGGTCGTCTTGCCTTGTCCAAGGATAATTTGGAGGCATCGTCCGATCTGCTGGCTGACTTTGTTTCGCAAGCTTTTACAAAGACTATATTCTCAAGCATTTCAACGAGTTTGGACAAAGTTCGATGATTTGGGTAGGCAGGATTGCGGAGGCGTTCCTGCACAATGACTACATCCGCACCATAACTACGGCCATTAAAGTCTGTCGGGAGCACCACATATCTCATGTTGTTTCCTGCGACTATGAAAAAGCATTCGATAGAAACTCGTTGACGGAGGATTGGATTCCATTCCACAGTAAAACTCTAGCTGATAGTTATCGTAAGAATAAAGAGGAGTTGCAACTTTTTTATTGGCCCGCTGCCGTCAAACTTTCCTTTTACAAACAAATGCGCCATTAGGAAATATCTTATGATTGAAATCCAGAAATTGTTCTTCGAAAAAAAAGCGTAAACACAGTCATACGCATTTGATGAAAAACAGAAAAACAGTTTAATAATGGACTCCAAAAGGTTGAAAGCACTTCCGAAGAATCACCTTCAAGATGTGCGTGCGTGTTGAAGGCCCACTTCAATCGACTATGAACCATTTTTGAGATATGTACTTGTCTATAGCACCTTCAATCAACTATAAACCACCCTGAAGATGTACATGTCTATAGCTCACTTCAGTCAACTATAAACTACCTTCAAGATGTACGTGTCTATGGCTCGTTTCGATCAACTCTACTCACAGCTGGCAGCGAAACACGGACTACAGAATAATACTTGCAAAAGTCAGCATACTTGAAGCAATAGCCGTCACCATAAACAACGATTTCTAAAAAAGAACGGAATGGAAGATATCCTGGCACCCGAAGTAAGGACGATCCATTAAAGTATGGAAGTGACTTTAAGTCAAAAATTCCCACGATCATTTCATGATGAAGTCCATTTTTAGTGAGTAACAAGAGCTAATCCCTGATTTGGCATCAGCCTTTTTTTTGAAGATCTATTACAGGGCAACAGAAAAAACTTGAAACACTTGAGATAGTTTTATGTTAATAGGGCAACATTCTTATACGCCTACTTGGGTGGTTCTTAAGTATTCATGAGCCTTGGCCTTTAATAGCACCCTTCACTTTGTTCCTCTTCTTCGAGTACGTTTTGCATACAAATCCAACCTATAAGTGTATCATTGTTGGAAATGGAAAACTAGTGATCCGAGAAAAGTCACCAGGTGCATAGTGGATTTTCGTCCAGGTGTTATCGTTTTATTACGTGGTCTAGTTACTAAGTGTGCGGTGGCTAAATTTGTGTTGGTGTAGCCGAGATGAATCATAAGCTTCACATAAAAGTTCTAAAAAAGCGTCAAAACCTTAGACAAAATGTTAAGAAGCGTAGAAAGTTTACCGTTGTTAAATACCTGTGGGATACGCCACACATTCGATTTCATTAAACATCGTTATAGGCCTAAAGAATGACTTTCGGTGGCTTAGCGCTGTAACAAACCAGTGCCTCCTCTATCCTCCTAATACAAGCCTTAGTAATTTTCGAACCCTGAAGGTATGAAAGGCCGGGTGAGCTTGTAGAGCTAAATCGAACTATTAACCGGTTCCGCGTGTAGGGCACTTTAATCGTTGTGTCACAGATGTCACTATCGTAAAAAAAAAACTCCATCAAATTTTGAATCCATGAACTAAAGTTTGCAATAATACTTGCCAGTTGTTTAAATATTATCATGCTGCTACCACTTTCCTGATACTTGATACTTGAACGACCCTCCTCACTGGTTGTAGGGGCCCAGCATAATCTCCATTTTTCGGAGATTTGTAGATTAAGCCATTGTGGTTTTCTGCCCCAGATCTTCACCACCACAGTCAGTCACAGCCCTTGTGGATTAGAGAGAGATTCACCACCATGCCACTTTGATACCAGGACGGTGATGGATCCTGGTATTGGCTGGCTCTTAGCTAGGCTTCCTGATGGAAACGCCGAACTTCTCAGTTTGGGAGACCCTGCAGCAGGATGAGTTTCCGCGCTGTACATCACAGCCCGACAACCAGGAAAACCTCCACTGCTGCCATTATCTTATAAACTGATCTTCTTAAGCTGACGCGAGGTTGGTACAGATCTTCGTTGTCGTTGTCGTTGTTTTTGATGTTATTGATCGATGACTGACGTTTCGGCGACTTCGCCTTCCTCAGAGCCTGGACGTATTTAATATTAGAATATGGCTGACGTTTCGGCGACTTCGCCTTCCTCAGAGCCTGGACGTATTTTATGTTAGAATACTTTTTATTATTCGGTGGAAAAGAAGATTAAAGTGTTAATGAAGAACAAACTTTCACATAGACGCCATATTGAACAGAAAGGCCACTCACCGTGATGTTACGTGCGGGATTGGCCCACACGTAGTTCACGTGGAGTCGCGAGCAAGACACGCCCCAGGGTCAAAATATCATTTTGAAATAGGGCGCCAGGTCACGCGTGATAGTGAGGCATTCGTCCTTCCGGTTCATCTTTGGATTTTTGAAATTTATCCAAAACGCCTCAAGAGTTTTGCGCGTTGATGTTTTTGATATCTGCGCTCCGCTAATTCACTTCAAAATCATCGCCATTGTGCTTCTGTGCCCTATGCGTACCTAGAGGTGTGCTTTGACGAGTTTTGACTTTGCCATCTAGATGTTCTTTTATGCGGACACAAAGTGGTCTACCCGTTTCCCCGATATATTCCTCGCCGCATGCATTACATGAGATCAAGTATATTATACCTAAACTCATGCAATCCCGGTCTCTCCCGTTAGGACAGATCATACAGTTTTCTGAGCTGCACAAACGATCATAGAGACGGTTTCGAACTAACTGGCGGCTTAGGGTATTGGGTAGGATGTCAATAATCGTTACATAATTTTAGCTATTTCAGCTAACCTCAGCCATCGACCAATAACATCAAAAACAACGACAACGACAACGAATATCTGTACCAACCACGCGTCAGCTTAAGAAGATCAGTTTATAAGATCACATAAATAAATATATCAACTATCTATGCCGAGGTTCATAAAAAGTC